TATTAATTAATATTATTAAATATTAGGGATTGATGATGTGGTAGATGACTAGGATGCCATGTCAGTATTAAATAATATTTTTTTTTCGTTCAGGGTTTTATTTACCAATTTTTAAAAGTATAGAGTTTTAATTGTCAATTTTTAAAAGTACAATGTTTTTTTGGATCAAAAAAAAGTATAGGGTTTAAATTGCGACGAGAGAAAAGTACAGAGTTTTAAATGGAATTATCCCTTGTTTTTATATATTTTAAAAAAATGAAAATGGCAACAAAGAAATCAAACTCTCAAACGCCATAAAAAAAACAAGGGGCAATTATTCAGCCTCCACAATTTTTTTTTATTACAAATAGATATGCCATTAAATTCAGTTCAATTCCATTTGGTTTTCAATATTTTATATTATTTTATAATATTTTTTATTTTGGTTTAATGGGATTAAATGAAATTTAAACGTATGGCTTTTAAATAGCATCTCTTGATGTCACAATCATTAAAGAAAAGGTGAAAATGTGATTAAGAGAAATAAAAGAAATAGTGAATTGGATTAATTAATCTCTAAACACTCATCATGGTTTAGTTCACATGACATTGACCACCGCCACCGCCACCTCCATCTTCTTTTTTTTGGAACCCAACACGTGAACCCTACAACAATTTCAACTCAAACTTTTACTATTATATAAAATTTGATGTCAACTAATTTAGAAAATTTTAATATACCATAAAAAAAACCGTCATTTATTTCATATATATGGGTTCAAAAAATGGTTTAGTATTGTCTTTAGTTGAAATGATAATACTGTGATGTTTCAAAAGTAAGAATTCGAAACATAAGGTGTTTTTCTGATAAAAAAAATATATATATTTTTTTGGAAAAAATTGTCAATAGAAAATTAGAAATATATACATATGAAGCAAATAATTATTTTATGAATCATGAAATGATAAGAACAATATCATTCGTAGTGTTTATATGAGTGAGCTGTTGATATGTCACATTCAAGCATAAAAAACAAAGCTTCCCTTTCATCATCATCATCATTATTATTATAAATAACTCTAACAAAGATAAACATAGCAGGACCGTAATATTTACTATAAAATTATAAAAACAGAGTATAGTTTATATAAGTTTAGAGGTTTACAGATAAAAAAATATATTAACTTGTATTCATTTTATATAAACTATTTTAAATAATTTTAAACTAATTTCATTCGCGTTGCAAAATTGGACAAGTAATCCCCAATACTGTTAAAATTATACTCACAGGAGTCATGACTTTACATATATCACAAGGTAAAAAGTATTATATATGTCTCTTCGTCAAGCAATCTCTTATATTATTTTTCCTTTATGTTTATGTTTCATTATATCGTATCTCCATGATTATTTCACAATATATATATATATATATAAGTGTGTGTGTGTGTATATATATAGAGAGAGAGAGGAGCATTGATCATCGTTTTCTTGAAACCTAAGAGTCATATGTAGAACTCCCTTCTCCACCACTCAAACGTCAAAGTCGATCGGTTTCTTTTTGTTTTTCAATACCAACTTCGATTTCTTTTATTTTCACATTTATATAATGTGTGATGTTATCATGTAAAAATGCACAATTTCGTCTATAGTGTCCCTATAGGTTTGGTCGAACGTTCGGTTTGGATTAATCAATTGTGGTTAATTCGAATTCCGTTATGTTGGTTTTTGAAAATTCATAACCAAACGGTTATTAAATTTTATTCAGTTCAATTCGATTATTTCAGATTTTAAAAATTTATAAACAAACGGATATTTAATTTTATTCGATTCGATTCGGTTCGCTTCGATTTTATCTACTTCAAATTGTAACCAAATAAAGATTTGATTTGGTTTGGTTTGATTATAATATCAAAAAAATCAAATTGTTTATAATATCCAAACAAGATATAATATAAAATATTATGGTGATTATCTTAAAATATAAAAAAGTAAAATCTAAAATAATTTTATGTTTTATTTTGACATAAAACAACAAAATAAAAAGACTTCATAAATATATTAATATCACACAAATCTTAAAAGTAATAATGAAAATAAGCAAAAAATAATAAAACAATGATTACACTTATATTATATAATGTGTTTATATATGTACTATATGTTATACATTCACAGCGTCGTTTTAATATTTTAATCTCTATAATTTTTTCTTAAAAATATGTAAGTTCTTTTATTACCAATATTCCTTCTTTGTTTTACTTGGACTGTTGGACCCATTAACTAATCCGTTATTGGTATTGGAAAAACAATTTAATGTGTATATTAGTTGACGATTGATTATCGAATATAGATGGATTTAAATTATAAATACGTGTATTACAAAACATTTGCTTAAGAATATTTTAAAGAACACATATCACAATCATATTAACAATCATACGGAGAATAGCATGTGATTATATGTGGAAATCGCATTATTAATTATAGTTATATTATTTGGACTCATTAGAGTGGTAGACAGTCCATTAGCTTTATGTTCACTTTACACGCACACACACATATATGTATATATCATATTTATACATTTTTTATTATCTTTAGGCTACAATGTTAGGGTTTGAGTTTTCTTTTTGTTTCCAAATAGAAATAATAATTTTATGAAGGAAAAAATAAAGGGATCCCATATTAATTATCAAATAGTAGGGGTGGATACGGATCGGATATCCGTGATTTTTGGGATATCCGTATCCGATCCGCACAAATACTCAATTTTATTAGCCGTATCCGATCTGTAAATATCGCGGATATTTACGAATATCCGTATCCGACATAAAAAATTATAAAAAATTTAATTCAAATTTAAATAACAATGTCAAATATAAATAAATTATATAAGTGATTTAATATAAATGTTATTCACAATTTAAAATTCATAATTTAAATATTTTAAATCAATTCAAATACAAATATAATCATAATCTATCATATACAAATATATTGAAAATTCAAAATTCAAAAAATTAAACATAATAAATCTTAATATTCAAAAGATTAAACATTCTAAATCTCAATATATAAAAATTATTTCTTGAATATCCCTACAAAACATGTAAGTATAAAGCATTTTATATCTCTATAACAAATTATTTTTATATTTAATAATATTATTAATTAGTACGGATCAGATCAGATATATCGGATATTTCGAATTTGATATCCGTATCCGATCCGTATCCGACAAATATTTCAAAATAAATATCTGTATCCGATCCGTAAATTCCGGATATCCGAATTTTCGGTTCGGATACGAATCGGATAATTTTTTTCGGATATTATGCCCACCCCTACCAAATAGCCATCGCATCGGTGGCTCCAAGGCACCGCCTCATAACTCATGTTTTCTCGTGTCGTTGCAAAATATCCCTTAAATTCATATATTTCAATGGTTATTTATTTAATTTTTCATATTTTTTTTTAAAAAAAATTGTGAACTAAAATTATTATAGCGGTGAAGTTTGATGAGTGATTCACAAGTTACACGATCAATGAAGCAAAAAACTCCCACAACTTGGACCACCCATCCAAACGCTTTTACAATTTTGTTACATTTTCTAAATAAATATTATAAAATCGATATACCATAAATAGATAATGATCCAATGAGAAAAAAAAAAATCATAGTTATCTTTGAAATCTAGCAAAACTTTTAATAGAATTAATTGTGTCTTTGTTTTATATATTTTTTGGTAAAAAGAAACAAAATTTAGATTTCGGCGTAAACCAATTGGATTTCATTATTTTCATTTAAGAAAGTTTTCACAAACTTGAAGGGAACATTTAGTAGGCAACAACTTCTTGGTCTTATCTTTTGCCAAATTAGTAGAAAAACCTTTAAAATTATTTATCTACTCGGAAATTTCGAATGGTCCTTTTTTTCTATTTCACCTAAAATTTATATAGGATTTTAAACCTTCTAATATCATATATATAAACGCTCAACAAAATTAAAGATTTTATAATAATTTCAAATTCTTAAAAATATTTCCATTTTTTTCGTGGGATAGAATTAATATAAAACAAAATACCTATAGTAATGTAATGTTAAGCAGATATTAGAAAGCTATAATATATTTTCGGACCGTTGTCATCTGTTTTATAAATTTGTATGCATATTGTTACATATTGACCATATTATAATATCTAACCTTATTATATAAAAGTAGTAATCAATTTATTTGTTTAGGAAAATTTAAAAAAAAAAAATCTCAGGCCGCTCGTGGTCGTCACCTAACCCATTTTAAGAACCACATAACTTTCCCAATGTTTTGTCTTACGGCAAAAGACCTCTAAAATTGAAATGACCATTGTACCCTTACCCTTTTTCTTCGTCGAATTTCACTGCTTCGATGATGAACAATATATGTAGTCACACTAGATTCTCTCTAAAGTCTTCGTACCAATCTTCCAATTTTCCCTCTTGCTAGGAGCGAATTTGTCGTTTCTGAGGAGGAATTCGAGATGGGTTCGCTTCGAAACCACTGAGAAATCATCCTTTATCCCAGGAAATGGGCGAAGAATCAGAGAAATCGAAGCCCAGTATCGGTAAAGCAATCCAATCGATTTCTTCATTGATCTCTCTCTCTTACTCAATAAAATCCTTCTCCGTCAAATGGCTGCTGATCCGGAGCAAGCTCGAGGAGCTATATTCTGGGCTCACCGCCGTCGAGAATCTCGATTCGAGCTTCGACCCGTCTCTCTCGAGCTTGGTTACTGCCATTTTGGGTTCTCTCGAGGAGTGCCACGATCTCGCGTCACGGTGTTTGAACGTTTCTTACAGTGGGAAGCTCCTGATGCAGAGCGATTTGGATGTCATGTCGGGGAAATTCGACCGGCATGCGAAGAATCTCGTTCGGATTTACTCTGCTGGGATTCTGAGTCACGGGTTCGCAATCGTTGTATCCAAGCCCGGTGCTAGTGCTTGCAAGGACGACATGAGGTTTTACATCAGGGATTTGCTTACGAGGATGAAAGTTGGGGATTTGGAGATGAAGAAGCAAGCTTTGATCAAATTGAATGAAGCCATGGAAGAGGATGACAGGTATGCGAAGATAGTGATCGAGATTAGCGATATGGTGAGTATTCTTGTCGTGTTTATGGATTCTGAGATGGGGATTCAAGAAGAAGCTGCGAAATCTGTGTCGTTTATTTCTGGGTTTGGTTCGTGCAAATCTGTGTTGATTCGATCAGGCGTGATTGGTCCTCTGGTGAGAGTCTTGGAGAATGGAAGTGAATGTGGCAAAGAAGCGTCTGCAAGGTGTTTGAAGAAATTAACCGAGAATTCGGACAATGCTTGGTCTGTTTCTGCTCACGGTGGTGTCGCTGCATTGTTAAAGATATGTTCTTGTGGCGAATCCAAAGGCGAATTGATTGCCAGTGCGTGTGGTGTGCTGAGAAATATTGTAAGTGTCGAAGAAATCAGGAGATATATGATCGAAGAAGGCACGGTTTCGACGCTCATCAAGCTTATAGGATCAAAGGGCGAGATCGTTCAGGTAAATTCTATGGATCTATTGTTGAGTGTATGCTCCAAAGATGAACAAACCCGTGACAACTTGGTTAGAGGAGGAGGAATCGAGGAACTAGTGCGTGTATCGGATCCTAATTCACCGTCCTCTTCCAAATCTAAGGAAATGGCATTGAGGGTCATTGAGAATCTGTGTTTTGGGTCTGTTGGCTGTTTGAATGCACTCATCCATAGCCATTTCTTGGATCATTTACTCTACCTGTTGAGAAATGGGGAGACATCTGTTCAAGAATCCGCCTTAAAGGTCACATTCAGGTTCTGTAATTCACAAGAGGAGGTTAGAAGGATATTGGGGGAGGTGGGTTTCATGCCCGAGCTTGTGAGATTTCTCGGTGCAAAATCGTTGGACGTTCGGGAAGTGGCGAGTGAGGCACTGTACTGCTTGATTTCAGTCCCGAAGAACAGGAGGAAGTTCTCGCAGGATGATCGGAACATCAGTTACATACTGCAGTTGCTCGATCACGAAGAAACAGGAAACGAGAGCAGCGATTCGGGTAACACAAGGTTGTTGATTTCGATATTGACGTCCTTGACAAGCTGCAATAGTGCAAGAAGGAAGATTGCATCTTCAGGGTACTTGAAAAGCATAGAGAAACTGGCTGAAACAGAGGGTTCGGATGCTAAGAAACTTGTCAAGAAGCTCTCCAAGAACAGATTCCGCCGCATCTTGAGTGATATTTGGCATTCCTAAAGGTCTCTCCTTTTTTTAGTTTTTGGGTTTCTTTTTGTGAATTTGTGAGTGTGTATATCTTTGCAAAGGTGTTTATGGTTAGTTTTCTTTGTATCCAAATTCTAATCCCATGTGACCTCCAAATTTCCACTTAAGAATATAGCTTTAGAACATCCTTTTTTTTATTCTCTCTTTTCAATTTGGGTTGAAATGCAAACAAAAAGGTTGAGTGGGTGTCTTGCAAAAGGCTGTCTTTAAGCATCAGATTCTTCTAAGAAGCTGCATCGTTGTGCTTTTAGGATAATTTTGGTAATCTTTTAGGGAAAAAGAACTCCTAAATTTTCATGACCCATGACCCTTTTTAGGCATTTTGCATCATGTTTTTGTTAACTAGTTATGCCATGAGTGTGATCAAGGACATGATCCCATTCCTTACCTTGGACTTCAAAACTTTGAATACTATGCTCAATTTGAATATCTATAATTCTAAACATAAGATTTTTTTTTTGAAGCTCCCAAATCAAGACACTATTGATATCAAATTTAGAGGGAAACCAAATTTGGGGGTTCATCTAAAATGGGTGTGACATGGAATTATATGCACATGGAGAGCATAATGGAACAAAACTTGAAGAGATTAAAAAGCATGTGGAGAATAAAGACAATCTTTTGAGTGGTCTCTCCCATCTACCACAATTATATAGGCACAGAAAAGACAGTGATGGATCAGATGGGACTTCAATCTATTTTATTTCTCTTCTTTTGTAACAAGTTTCATTTTTATCTTTCAAAGTTTCATCTTCTCCCATCAATATCTCTTTGTTTTGTATCTTACAAGTTTTTTCAAAGTCTCAAACGATTTTTTACGTGTAATTGTCTGTTTGCATTGTCGTCGTTCGTTTGATTTTTTTCATTTATTTTTTTTTCAATCGTCCTCTAAATGACTCTAATAATGGTGTATAACCGTTTTGAAGATTTTATTTATATATTTAAAAATGTGGGAGAGTTTCTATAATAAATATTTAAGTCGAAATTTAAAAGTTCTCCGATCTCATGCGTATGAATTTGTGAGAGAGTATTGAGAATTATGAAGAGACAGAGTGATGTGTTATGGAATTATATTCTTAATAGAATTAATTTTAGTGTAATTTATATTTTCCAAATAAGATTAGGTTTACTCTATAGTGTACATCTATATCTATATATATGTTATTTAGTTAAATGGATAATACAAAAGATTTTATTCCGGGAATCTTACATTGTATCTTTTAAAATTGTATTGTAAAGTCAAATTATTCAATACTGCAGATAATACACTTTTTACAAATTATACTGTAAATAGTGTACTAATTGCATAATTGAACCATGTGACTTTGCATCTTAGCTCTGAAGATATAGTACCAAATAAGTGACGTATAACTAAACATTAATCCATATTTAAATCTAAAAGAAATTGTCTATTGGTTGATCTTTTGATCTTATATGCATTTAGTGCCTTTTTTTTTGTGGTTTATTATAATTTTTTCTGTTTTTTTTTTTAATTTGGGTGAGGAAATATGACTTTTTGTAGGTAGTCGATAATTACTTTTTTAATATCTACGTAGGTCAAAATGTTAAAATAATATCTAGTCATTGGCCGGATTCTAATACGATGTTTTCATATATTTTTTGTGATATACAATATTAATACACACACACATATATATATATATATATA